AAGGTCAGTCAAAAAGGAAATGAATAAAAATGCTATATGCAGCTCTTTGCTTGAATGGTACAAAATAGCAAGTAATACTTAGTCTCAATTATATTGTAATATTCTTCCAAAAAAAATTAATATAAACTCATAGTTAAGCGATTTTTGTTTAGAAATTACCCATAATGCACCCGATATATTGATATATCATATTTTACCGAATTTTTGCCAAAGGCTATATTTATATCATATTGTTTTGTTTGAATAGGAAACTGAGGTTGAGGATACAATCACTATTAATGAAGATGAAAGCTTCAGTGATTTATCCAGTAACGAGGATTCAAATAGTGAGGATTTGCAGTCATCAACAGATGAGGAGGGCGAGGAAGAAGTCTGGAATGATGTACTTCCTGATGCACTCCAGAAGGACCTAGATGGAACTCCACCTCCAATCCCTGATGCAGGGGAAAAATCAAATTTGAAAAAAATTAACTCCCTTGTATTTTGGATGGTCTATTTTCTTATGGTATGGCAGTTGTCATGTCACATTAGTGATAACGCAATGGCATGGCTACTTCGGTTTTTAGTGTCTTGGCTCAAGGTAATAGGGATTGAAATTTCCAACAATTTTCTTGGCCAACTAGTCACAGCATTTCCGGGAACCCTGTATATGTTGAGACAGTTTATTGACTTTGATAGAGATGACTTTGAAAAGTATGTTGTATGTCCCAAGTGTCATAAGCTATACAAATACAATGAATGTTTGACAGTTGTAAACAACAAACAAGTTCCTAAAACCTGCTCAGGCTTTTTTTATTCAAGAGGAAAGAAGAAAACATGTGGAGCTGCAATCGTTTACAGTGTAAGGATGAGCAATGGGAAATCATGCTTTTACCCAATAAAATATTATTGCTGCAACAGTATAATTAACGCACTAGAAAGACTTGTCCTGGAAAAGGGATTTGCAGAAAAATGTGAATCCTGGCGGCAACAAACCATGCTCGGTGAAGAAATGGCTGATGTGTATGATGGGAAGCTTTGGAAAGACTTTGGTGCATTTAATGGAAAAGATTTTTTAAATGCTCCACGTAATTATGGGTTCATGTTAAATTTTGACTTCTTCCAGCCTATGAAACATAGGAAAGATTATTCTGTTGGAGTCTTTTATCTTGTTATCTTAAACTTACCAAGGAAGGAAAGATTTAAATGGGACAATGTTATTGTTATTGGGATTGTACCCTCCCTGGACAAAGAACCAAAAAATTTAAATCCCTTTCTCGATCCTGCAGTTAAGGAGTTGCAGTGGTTATGGAGAGGGGTGAAGCTAAAGTCAGATTTGTGCAGGTATAGTCTTTCCTTTAGAGGAGCAATTTTAGCTGTTTCTTCAGATGTTCCTGCTGCAAGAAAATTAGGAGGTTTCAAAAGCCACTCAGCAATCATTGGTTGCTCTCGTTGTCTTAAGTCTTTTCCTGGTGCATTTGGAGAAAAAAGAGACTATTCTGGGTTTGACAGGGAAAATTGGCAACCAAGAAGAAATAATTATCACCGCCTCTTAGCAAAGAAATTAGAAAATTTCAAAACTCAGTCTAAGAAAAAAGAATTTGGACGCAATCATGGTATTATTCATTACTCAATACTTCTTGATCTAGAGTACTTTGATGGAATTCGATTCTTCACTATTGATCCTATGCACAATCTATTTCTAGGCACTGCAAAATCAATGTTTAATTTATGGATCAAAAACAATCTATTTTCAAACAAGCAGCTGGAGCAAATTGAAAAAAGAGTAAAAAAAAAATGGAGGTGCCAAGCAACATTGGAAGATTGCCAATGAGAATAATGAGTAATTCTGGCTCCTACACTGCAGAGCAATGGAAAAACTGGACTTTAATTTACTCTGTCTACTGTTTAAAAGACACTCTGCCTGAAGATCACTTTCATTGCTGGCAGACGTACGTACTAGCATGTAAATACATCTGCAAGCCTATCATATCAGTTACAGATTTAGAAATAGCTGATAGACTTTTTGTTAAGTTTTGCAAAGAAGTGGAGAAAGTCTATGGGAAAGATGTCATTACACCTAATATGCACCTTCATTGCCACTTGAAATATGTTTTAGTAGACCATGGTCCAGTAGCTAGCTTCTGGTGCTTCAGCTTTGAAAGATATAATGGAATTCTAGGAAGTACCAGCACCAATAAAAGGTCTGTTGAGCTACAACTCATGAGACGATTTAAAATGTCTCAGTTTTTACAAGATAGTTTACTTCCAAATCTATACCAAGAAGATTTTCTAAATATGTGTAAAGAGGCAAAAGCTGAACAAGGTGATGACTGGATTAAAAACTCTGAATGGGAAGAAARGCTGGCATTTCAAAACCTGGCTGTTGCTTCACCTCTYCCGGTTGGTGATGCCTGGAARAATCAGTCYGCAGTCTTTTGTCCATCAAATTTCAAACAAAGTTTTTTAGATTCAGATGATGCAGAGCTCTTACTTCAAGTTTATAAAATTTTATATCCTAGTTTTGAAATAACCATAACAGATTTGAGTGAAACAATACAAAAGTTTGGTTCAATCACTCTTGGAGCTATGTCATTTGGTTCTAAACTTGAGCCAAGGAAAATCCGTTCTGCCAAAATTCTAGCATCCTGGTCCTTAAACGATGGATTAATTAACAAGGACACCTTTCATCTTAGACCAGGAACAGTTTGCTATTACTTTACTCATTCATGCATACTAGGAGGGAAGTTTGTATCCCACACATATGCTTGTGTTAAATGGTACAAATTAGATAGCAACATCGACAGGATAGGAAAACCTGTCCAAGTATGGCAGTCTTCATATGATGATGGAGGACCCTGTTCCTTTATACCGGTACAAAGGATTTTTTGTAAATTTGCTTCAGCCAGACTTCAAAATGCTGAAGGAAATGACAGTATAGCTGTGAGCCCTATTAACAGGAAAATATTTTTATAATTAGTTTTTTTGAGGAATTTATTTGTTCACTTGCTTAGGCCTAAAGATGTAATGATATCAATTTGATTATCTTATACTATCTTGAGCTAGCTGTCTGTATATGCACTGCTGGATGCGATATAATTAGACTACATTTAATAAAGCTTATTTTGAAACTTTGAATTCATTGAACTTAAAAATCCATGTATAATATATAGTTGTATCATGATTAACTAAAACATTCTCAACAAAATAAAATGCTTTTGGTGTTAATTGTCAATACGAAATATTTGCTTATTAAACACTTTAGTGTACAATGCTTCTCCAACTCATGAATTTTTAATGAGAATTTAAAAAAGGGTGCTACTGTAACAGTGATTTAATTTGGAAATGCATTCTTAAGTGAAATTTTCTTTGATTTTCTTCAAATCATATTAATGAAAATGGAGACGTATCGAAGTACATACATACATACATACATAC